CTTAAGTTTGCGTAAGACCTCGGCTAGACTGTGAACTTTTACCGGGGAATCTTTACATATTAAGAGTACAACTTCAGTTCGTGCCTGTTATGAGAAGCAGCTGCTTTAGTTACCATTGATCGTCGTAAAAGGCTTGGGGCCAAGATTGATGGCGTGAGAGATTCACCTTGATTGGCCCAGCATCTTTCGATTAGCAAATGGCAGAATGAAGTCCCAATTAATTACCTGGCAGTTTTTCAGGAAAGTTTAAGGACTACCAAAGGAGCCAAGACCACCTTCCATGTTGACCAGGAAGCAATTCCACGATTCTGCAAGGCCTGCCCAGTGCCATTTGCCTTACAGGCAAAAGTAAAAGCAGAAATCAGGAGGCTGCAAAGTGAAGGAATTAATAAACCAGTACATTTGCAAATGGGCAGCACCGATTGTATCGATTATGAAGCCCAACAGGTCAGTTCGCCTTTGTAGGGATTTTAAACAAACAGTAAACCGCTTTTTGCAGCTGGATAAATACCCAATCCCTAGCACTGAGGATTTATTTGCAACATGGACAGTTGGGGGGACTGTCCTTCACAAAGCTGGACAAGAGCCATGTGTACTTGCAATTATAGTTAGATGAGGATTCCCAGAGGTACGTTACAATTAATACGCTTAAGGGTTTGTACCAATATACAAAACCGCCTTTTGGAGTAGCATCTGACTGTGCCATTTATCAGCGGATGATGGAGAACATTTTACAAGGTCTGCACCGAAATTGCCATTTACCTAGACAACGTGCTAATAACAGGGAAAACCTATAAGGAGCGCTTACAGAACTTGGACACAATCCTTAGATGCTTCTCCCAGGCAGGCATATGCCTTAGAAAGGAAAAATGTGTGGTCCAGGCCCCCCAAGTGACTTACTTGGGCTACAGAGTCAACAAGACCGGGTTACACCCACTGGAAAAGAAAATGAGGGCGATCAATGGTGCCTCAGCTCCCATGTCTGTCCAGGAGCTTAGGTCTTTCCTTCCGCTGTTGATTTATTACAGAAAGTTCATACATAACCTGGCCTCCATCATGGCACATTTGCATCAATTCTTAGAAAAAGAGTCAACTTTGGAAATGGAGACAACAAGGTGCAGAGCTGGATGAACACAGCAGGCCAAGCAGCATCATAGGAGCAGAAAGGCTGACATTTCGGGCCTAGACCCTTCATCAGAAATCAACTTTGGAAATGGTTGCCTAGCCAAGCCATAGCTTTCAGGGAAGTGAAGAAACAGCAATCAATCTCTAAGGTGTTGGCACACTATGATCCCAAGTGAGATCTGGTATTGACATGCGATGCCTCCCCATATGGCATTGGGTTAGTGTTTGCCCATAGGTGACCCAATGGAGAGGAATATCCAATAACGTATGCATCCAGGATTTTAGCCAACGCAGAGCATAAAACGCCTAGATAGGGAAGGAAGATTTGGCGGTCATATTTGGAGTCAGGACATTCCACCAATATCTTTATGGATGTAAATTTTGTAATAACAACGGACCACAAACCCCTGCTCGGTCTACTTAAACAAGACAGGGCAGTGCCACCCATAGCTTCAGGCCATATTCAGTGGTGGGCTCTAATACTAACTGCGTATAATTACAAGTTGGAACACCGTGCAGGAGGCCAAGTAGCGAATGTGGATGCATCACCTCCTGTTGGCAGATATACCATCGGTGGTACCGCCACTGGAAGAGTCTGTAGTGGTTTTAAACTTTCCGGATACACTTCCAGTCACAGCTGACAATATCAGACTTTGGATGCAGAAAGGTCTTGGCAAAACTAAAGTGCCTTAATGGTGATGGGGGAAACCAAAGAGCCATCACAGCCAGAATTGAAATCTTTTTAGACCCGAAGAGACCAGATCAAATTAGAGGACGGCATATTATTATGGGGAGCAAGGATGATTGTCCTGGACAAAGCTCACTGCCAGATACTGGCTGAACCCCACCCTGGTCATCGAGGGGTTTCCAAAATGAAGATGTTGGTGAGAAGTTATGGCTGGAGGCCAGGATTGGATGCAGATGTAGCTGCATTGATGGGGCAGTGTCCAGAGTGCCAACAAGGACAAAAATTACCACCAGCAGCTCCCCCACTTTCATGGGAATGGCTGGGTAAACCCTGGATAATGCAGGCCCTCTCATGGGCTCAATGTCTTAGTCATTGTGGAGGCCCAGTCAAAATGGCCAGATACGCACAGAGTTCATTTGTCAAACACAGGGACAACAATAGAAAAACTGTGCACATCTTTTGCAGTACACAGACTCCCAGAAGTGTTGGTGACAGATAACGGGCCATCGTTTATCAGCAGGACATTCGAGTATTTCCTAACATCGAATGGTATTTGTCACATAAGGACAGCCCCATACCAACCATCATCCAATGGTCTGGCAGAAAGAGCAATCCAAACTTTGAAAGCAGACTTTAAGAAACAGCCTACAGCTTCACTCAATACCAAACTGTTCCGGTTCCTGTTTGATTATAGGACCATCCCTCATGCAACAACAGGGATAGCTCCAGCAGAGTTGCTAATGGGGAGAAGACTCTGCATCAGGTTAAATCTGATCTTCCCGGGCCTGGGGGAGAGGGTGAAACACCAATGCCAGACACAAGACTTCTCTAAGTGAGAGAGACAGTTTACTTCAGGGGATGAAGTTTGGCGTAGGAACCAGGGGAATGGCCCTGTATGGGTAAGAGGCAAGGTCGATGCGAAGTCAGGCCCAGTGACACATGAAGTTCAGGTAGGTGTGACAGTCCTGAACAAACACATGGACCAGATGAAAGCTGCAAACTCGCAAACGGTGCGGGAGCAGAACGTGCCCGGCTCCTCGACTGCCTTTCCAACTGATCTGGAACCCATGCGCTCTCCCTCTCCATCCAGCGTTGAAGACACCTCAGAATCTGAGATGGACACGGTGGGTGTCACTGCCTCAATGCCTTTGCCGCCTGAAAATGAGAATGAATTTCTTCCGAAACGCTCCAGGTGCAAGAGGCAAGCTACCATGCGTTATACACCACGTCTATCAGAGGCCAAGTCAGAGGAACCTGACCCGGTGCTAAAATGCCCAGGAGGAGCTATATAAAACAATATAGGAGCTATATAAGCTATACCCTCAGCCTCAGAGGGGGAGGGGTGTAGTGATTGTAACGAGATCAGCCAGGTGGGTATCAGAGAATAGGAGTTCCCTGATTGGGGCTATTAACCAACCACAACATCCACAACCTGAGCTACAAATCTACTCTAAAATCTCAGAGTAAGTTGCCTTATTTTGGGAATGGTAGTCATTAGAGCACATGACCCGAAACACACTGACTTGCTGTAACTTCTTTTTTTTTCACTCATGGGATGTGGGCATCACTGCCAGGGCCAGCATTTCTTGCCCATTCCTAATTGCCCTTGAGAAGGTGGGGGTGAGCTGCCTTCTTGAACCATTGTAGTCCATGTGCTGTAGGTAGACCCACGATGCTGTTAAGGGGGGAATTCCAGGATTTTGAGTGACTCTAATTGAATGGCAATATTTTTCCAAGTTAGGATGATGAGTGGTTTGGAGGTGAACTTGTAGGTGCTGGTGTTCCCATGTAACTGCTGCCCTTGTCCTTCTAGATGGAAGTGGTTGTAGGTTTGGAAGGTGCTGCCTGAGGATCTTTGGTGAATTTCTGCAGTGCATCTTGTAGATCTTGAGGAGGGAGTGGATGTTTATGGATGTGGTGCCAATCAAGCGAGCTGCTTTGTCCTGGATGGTGTCAAACTTCTTGAGTGTTGTTGGAGCTGCACCCATCCAGGCAAGTGGGAGGATTTAACTGCATATTGATGCCTTACCAGTTTGATGTATAGTCTCAGCCATATGTAGTCTATCTTGACATTAAAATCCTACATAGTTAAGGGGTGAAGGCTCACAGGGTTGACCAGCCTGCCCACCAAGGAAGCCACACTGGCTGATACTAACAAACTCAACCCAGGCAGGTGGGGCTCAATTTAAAAGAGGGATTAACAAAAAGGTTCAGAGTATTGATACACTGAGATAGGGAGGACCCTTTTGAGTAGGAACAGCATGGCCAGGTTGAGCCAAATGGCCTGTTTCCATTGACTGCCTCTATAACCGGGGAAATGGTGACACTGGGAGGATCTCCTCATAAATGTGCAGTAATCTGATAAAAACCATCAGGATGGAGCAGATCGTGAGCTGGAATCTCGTGAAGGGATTACCTGATGTGTTACCGCTGTATGGTTCAGGTGCTGGTGTCACATTGACGTATTTGCATGTCCTGTCAATCCTGGCTGTTTTGTTGAAGTTAATCTGTCGGTACTTCCAGACAGTATGACTAGCGTCTAGAATCTGTTTGTACTGGAGGCCAGACTGTTGGCCTTCCGTGTGTATCCAGTGGTGTTGGACAGTATCTCTATCAGACAACAGGCAGTTATCTGTATTCTCACTGTTCCCAGACAAGGAGATGTCCTTCCCCGTTGGGGCCAGTCCCTGACCTCTCCATTCCAATATCTCTAGCTGTGCTCAGAGGGTGCTGCTTCGTAATCACTGATAAAGGGATGTGTGCATTAACTGTTCAAGCTGCCATAGACTGTGCACATTCCTCTCCTCTGACCTTACAGATTGACAATCAGAAATGGGAATAGTGTAGAGTAACATTGTTTGTCTGGACCCAGAGTCAGAGTGTTGGTATTAGATTTACTGAGCCTGGGCTGTGATGGGGGAAAAGAAGAATGAGCAAGGGGTGTCCCTCCTGAACTGACCAGGAAGTCAGCAACTAAGGACATTGGGAGTTTGGTTTGTGTGTGATGCAGGAATTGCCACAGACACTTTCTGTCGAAGCTCACCCTTGAAGAATGGATTTCTGAGTGGGATTTTGGAAAGTGAAAGGCACTCATCAGCCAACCTAGAAACCGGGAGTCAAGGCAGAAAACTAGGGTGCAACAATTTTAAAACAATAGTTCCAATTAACATCTCATAGCCACTCTTACCAATGCATGAAGAGATTCAATTTCCACCTGGAGGCTTTGCCACTGGCGTCGGGCATTATTTAGCTCTGCCTGGGCTGCCTGCAGAGAATCTTCGTTCTTATTCATCTCTGCATCACTGACTTCCAGTAGCTACCGAAACAGATCATGAAAAATAATCAAGAACGCAGTGTTAGCATTTCCCATCTCGTGTTCGTAATACTGCTGTTATATTCCAGACACCTTAATGGAAATCAAAGCACAGTCTTTCAATGAGGTCAGCATTCTCTGCAGCCTTTCTCATTGAGACAGAGGCCTTGTTCACAAAAATATACCTGAGTGTTGATACAAGCGTCTAATTCCATCCAATTCCTGTGTATGATCTTTTCATAATGCTTCTTAATGTCTGTAAGGAGCTGAGACAATCCCAGTTCCCGGCGGCCCCCATCTTCCATAGCCTAACTGGGTATTAACAGACTGGCACAGTCTGCAGAGCATAGACCTGCAGTGGGACACAGACAGCATCATTAGCATAAAGCAATACTGCCCTCAAAATGACTGAATACAAAAATACACTGACACTCAGCTCCGTTAATGCATCCAACGTGAACCTGGATAAAGTCAGAGTCAATCAGCATCCTTAAAGCTCAGTCATGCACAGACTGGGATGTGTGACTGATTTAATGTTGTGCAGTTTAAAATCATTCTGCCTTTCAGAACAATTGGAGTTCCACTTGCTGCTATATTTCAGCTTGTGTGGCTTTGTCTGTTCACCCAGAGACACACACACACACACACACACACACACAATAGATATAAAACAGACACATGCACAACAACATACACACACAACAGACATACACAGAACAAACAATCATGCACTCAGATCACACACATATACACGCACTCACAAACATACACTAAGTAAAGAAAAATATTGGTTTCCTCTGCAGAGATTCACTTTGGAAAAAAACGTTTTTTCTGGCCAATAATTGTTAGGTCTTGCAGGGAAAAAAGAAAAGATGCGAAATATTCTGAAAGGATTTGGGTTTTACTTTCTGGTGCATGATTTGTCACTAGGCATTTGCAGTTGTCTCTGGTTTCTTTAGAGGTGCAAGCTTTCAAGAAATGTCATGAAGAAGTTTTCCAATTGTTTTTTAGTACAATAGCTGCATCAGGGATTTGTTTCTGACACTGGAATCACAAGAAGAGTTATTCAGAAACAGGAAGCAATGGGATATAGTGGGAAGCTCCTTTTGCACACTTGTCTGCAACTCCAAAGGAATCCAAATACCTCCTGAGAGCCAGAATTTTCGGGCAGCTGGTCCCCAGTACATCTGGGAATAGTTTGCAACGTGACTCACAGAACATAGAACAGTCCAGCACAGGAACAAACCCTTCAGCTCACCATGTCTGTGTCAACCATGAAGCCATTCTAAACTAATCCCATCTGCGTGCATATGGTCCCTATCCTTTGAATTCCTGCCTACTCACGTGTCTGGCTATATGCCCGTTAAACATTGCTGTTGTATCTGCTTCTAACACCTCCCCTGGCAGGCACCTAGCTCACTGTAAAAATCTTGCCTCGTACATCTCCTTTAAACTTTACCCTTCTCACCTTAAACCTATGCCCCCCCTACTATTTGACATTTCCACCCTGGGGAAAAGACTCTGACTATCCACCCTTTCCATGCTTCTCATAATTCTAGAAACTTCTATCAATTCACGCCCCCCTCAGCCTCCAACGCTCTAGCAAAAACAGTCTAAGTTTGTCTGGTCTCTCCTTGTAGCTAATATGCTCCAATCCATGCCCTAAAATATCAATATACTGTCCCTAATCTTACCATCATCCATCTCCTTCTCCTTGGGAAATATTCATGTGAAGTACTCATTAAAGACCTCACCCACTTCCTCTGGCTCCAGATAATAATTCCCTCCTTTGTGCTTGAGTGGACCAATCCTTTCTGCAGCTACCCTCTTGTTCCAAATATGCGTATAAAATGCCTTGGGATTCTCCTAATCCTATTTTCCAAGGATATTTCCTAGCCCCTTTGAATGCTGCCAATTCGTTGTTTAAGTTCTTTCCTGCTTCCTTTATATTCCTCAAGGACCTTGTCTGATTTCAGTTTCCTAAACCTTATTCTACCTTGTTCTTTTTGACTAATTTTTCAATGTCTCTTGTCATCCAGGATTCCTGAATCTTGGCATTCTTATCCTTCATTCTCACAGGAATGTGCCAGCCCTGAACATGATCAATAGGCCTTTAAAAAACTCCCACATCACAAATGGAGTTACACTCAAACAGCCACCCCAAATCTAATTTCTCCAGTTCCTGCCTAATCCTGTTGTAATTAGCCTTCCCCAAATTTAACACTTTCATCCGAGGATCTGTCTTTTTCTTATCCATAACTATCTTAAAACTTACAGAATTATGTTCCCAAAATGCTCCCCCACTGAAACTTCGATCACCTGGCCAGGCTGATTCCCCAATACAAGGTTTAGTACAGCCCCTTCCCTAATTGGACTATCCACACATTGTTTCAAGAAACCCTCCTGGATGCACCTAACAAATTCTGCCCCATTGAAGCCCCTGGCACTGAGAGAGTCCCTGACAACATAGGGGGAAATTAACATCACCCACTGCAACAACCCTGTTGTTTTACATCTTTCCATAATCTGTTTACGTATCTTTTCCCCTATATCCCGCTGGCTATTGGGAGGCCTACAGTATAACCCCTCGTAGTGATTGCACCTTTCTTGTTCCTGAGTCCTACCCTCCTGGCCTCACTGGACGAGCCCTCCAAGATATCCTCATTTTGTGCAGCTATGATATTCTCCTTAATCAATAATACAACTCCCCACCCCTTTTATATTCTTCTTTATCATGCCTGAAACATCTAAACCCTGGAATGTTAAGCTACTACTCCTACCCTTCTATCAACCAGGTTTCTGTAACAGCTACAACATCACCGTTCCATGGGCTAATCCAGGCTCTAAGCTTCTCAGTCATGGTGAGCAAACTGACTTCTCCCAGAATTCTCTTCAATCGGTTCTCACTGCCATCCTTTGTTGTCACAGGAAGTGCATTTAAAATAAAACTGACCCATGTTCTTCGGTGACCTTTTGAAAAGATTCTAGTCCGGGAATCTTCAGAAATGCAAATGGACCACTGTCAACAATGTCTTTAACATAAAATCCTCAAAATAAAAAATAGCATGGAAGCACATTGTAACAATGGTCAAAACACAGTTTGGGGATGGGGAATGAAAGACTGTTTTAATACTGGGCCAGCATTTGTTGCTAGTCCCTAGTTGCCCCCTTGAGAAGGTGGTGGTGAGCTGCCTTCTTGAACTGCTGCAGTCCATGTGCTGGAGTTTGACCCACAATACCCTTAGGGAGGGAATTCCAGGATTTTGAGCCAGTGACACTGAAGACATGATGATATATTTGCAAGTCAGGATGGTGAGTGACTTGGATGGGAATTTACAGGGGCCAATGTTCCATGGATCTGCTGCCCTTGCCCTCCTAGTTGGGGGGTGGGTGGTGGTGCATGGGTTTGGAAGGTCCTGTGGGTTACTATTTGCTGCGGCTACTATTTCAATTGCTATTGTTGCAGGATTGGGGTGTACAATTTCTAATGTTTTCATTCATTCATGCCATTGCATGAGTCACTGATACAAACAAATCTGGAAGTTTTAAATGTTGATTCTTACTGATCTCAACGTAGTTGCCGTGATGGTGAAGGCATTTCTCATGCTTTTGTTACAACATTGTAATTGGCTGATGATGTAAATTCAGATCCAACCACAGGGGCTGGGTAATTTCAATCCACTTGATTCAATAAATCTTGTATAAACAGTTGCTCTACACAGTGGTGACATTAAACGATCAGATCTATAGGGAAAAACCCATCTCATTCACTGATGCCCTTTAGAAAAGGAAATCTGCCGTTCTTACCCAGTCTGACCTGCATGTGACTCCAGAACCACAGCAATGTGGCTGATTCTTAAATGCTACCTGAAGAAACTGACTGGAAGTCCAGTTAGGGGTAATTGCTACTCAATGACAAACACCAACAACTTGCGAAAGAATGAAACATTCTGAGGGTTCTTTAATAATCCAAGACTCTAAGCTGAACTGACAGCTTGCCTCAGACCCTCCGTTCCCGTCTACAAGTGGTTGGAAAGAAGTATTCACTTTGCCTTCAATAAGGGAAACCTCTGGGCCCAGTTCACCAGGGGAACTTTTATTGAACACTGACCTCTAGCAAGTTGAAACTGATTTCAATGCAAGAGGCCTGACAGGTAAGGCAGATGAATTCAGGGCATGGTTGGGAACATGGGACTAGGATATCACATCTATTACAGCAACATGGCTCAGGGAAGGGCAAGACTGGCAGCTTAATGTTCCAGGGTATAGATGCTACAGGAAGGATAGAAAGGGGGGCAAGAGAGGAGGGGGAGTGGCACTTTTGATTAGGTATAACATTACAGCTGTACTTAGGATGGATATTCTGGGGAGTGCATCCAGGTAAGTTATTTGAGTGGAACTGAGAAATAAGAAAGGGATGATCACCTTATTGGGATTGTACTAGAGACCCCACAATTGTCAGTGGGAAATTGAGGAACAAAATTTGTAAGGAGATCTCAGTTATCGATAAGAAAAATAGGGTGGTTATGGTAGGGGATTTCAACTTTCCAAACATAGACTATGACTGCCACAGTGTTAAGGGCTTGGATAGAGAGGAATTTGTTGAGTGTGAAGAAGAAAATTTTCTGATTCAGCATGTGGATGTACCTACTACAGAAGGAGCAAAACCTGGCTTTCTCTTGGGAAATAAAGCAGGGTAGGTGACTGAGGTATCAGTGGAGGAGCACTTTGAGGCCAGTGATCATAATTCTAGTAGTTTTAAAGTAGTAATAGAAAAGGATAGACCAAATTTAAAAGTTAAAATTCTAAATTGGAGGAAGGTAAGTTTTGATGGTATTAGGCCAGAGCTTTCAAAAGTTGATTAGGGTGGATGTTTGCAGGTAAAGGGATGGCTGGAAAATAGGAAGCCTTCGAAAATGAGATACCAAGAGTCCAGAGACAATATGTTCCTGTAAGGGTGAAGGGTAAGACTGGATAACTAGAGGAATTGGAGTTCTGGTCAAGAAAAAGAAGGAAGCCTATGTCAGGTGTAGACAGCAGGGATCGAGTGAATCCCTAGAAGAGTATAAGGGCAGTAGGAGTATACTCAAGAGGGAAATCAAGAAGGCAGAAAGAGGACATGAGACAGCTTTGGCAAATGGGGTTAAGGAGAATCCAAAGGGATTCTACAAATACATTAAGGACAAAAGAGTAACTAGAGAGTGAATAGGGCCACTTAAAAATCAGCAAGGCTGCCTATGTGTGCAGGAAATGGGTGAGATACTAAACGAGCATTTTGCATCAGTGTTTACTATGGAGAAAGATA